TGGCGCCCGCCCTCGCGCTAGCCTCGCTAGCTGCGCAGCCGCCGCGCCCAGCGGCCTACCGCCTAGCTCGCGCCCACGTGGCGCAAACCATGGCGGGGATGGAGCTGCCCCGCTGTCGACTCGGCGCTCAGGCCCTCGAAGCGCCTCCGATGTTTCACCGGCAGCCTTCTGGAAGGTGAGAGTTCGAGCAAGCGCGGGGATGGCGCGGCAAGCGAACTGGCGGCTCGAGGAAGAGACAGTCGCACACACCTGTTCGGAGCTCCGCGCGGATGTCTTCGGTCGGCGCCGGGCCCCCATGGCGGCGCCTCCAGCGCCGCCCGTGGCGCGCTCCGCGGGCCAGAGAGGGAGGCCCAGCGCCGATCAAAGAAAAGCCATGCGGACCTCGACAGTTTGCTCCTCACGTCTTGAATGGGATTGTTGTTTTCTTTGGGCACCCCTGCGCAGGAACTGGAACACCCCCACATCATCATCGTCTCCATCATCACTTCATCATCATCGTCATCCTCATCAGCATCATTACCATCGTCATCATCATCAGCATCATCATCATCAGCATCATCATCACCATCGCCATCGCCATCGCCATCGCCACCGCCGTCAGCATCATCATCATCATCAGCAGCATCAGCATCATCATTGTCATCCTGAGCATCCTTCTTACTTCAATCATCATCAGCACCACCATCCGCATCATCAGCATTACCATGATGACGATGATGGTTATTATCATTATCCTCAGTATCAGCATCAGCACCATAACCAGCTAATATTTCATTGACTCAAGCACCACTACCACAAACTCACACTAACCTTCGGTCATCACAATCAGCATCACCGCACCATATTCTCACATTCACAACCAGCACATCATCGTCAGCATCACTAGCACCACCATAACATGTTGTCGCATTCACTCACACACTCGCATATTCATCTTCAGGAAGTCTCCAGCGGGGGCCTCGTCTGTGAGTGCAGAGCTTGAAAGTCTCAGGCGGGAGCCCCCTCCCTGTGGCGCCCGCAGATTGGTCATCCGCGCGGGTCATTGGCGCAGTGTGGCAGGCATAGCACGTGAACATCCCGTGGGTGCAACTCGTGAGGATGTCTCGAGCGGGGGGCTCGTCTCTGAGTGCAGAGCTTGAAAGTCTCAGGCAGGAGCCCTCTCCCTGTGGGGCCCGCGGATCATGCTGGCAATCCGAGCGGGTCATTGGCGTAAATCGAGCAGGTATAGCACTAGAGCGCACAAGGGGCACAAATCGTGAGGATGTCTCGAGCGGGGGCCTCGTCTGTGAGCGAATTGCGAGGACGTCTCAGGCGGGAGCCCCCTCCGCAGATCTTGTTGGTCATCCGCGCGGGTCATTGGCGCAGTGTGACAGGCATAGCACGTGAGCATCCCATGGGTGCAACTCGTGAGGATGTCTCGAGCGGGGGCCTCGTCTCTGAGTGCGTAGCGAGGAAGTCTCAGACTGAGGCCCCCTCCTTATGGGGCCCACAGATCATGTTGGTAATTTGCGCGGGTCATTGGCTGATTGTGGCAGGCATAGCATATGAGCACACCAAGGGCAGAAATCGTGAGGATGTCTCGAGCGGTGGCTTTTTTGATGAGTGCATCGCGAGGAAGTCTCTGACGGGAGCCTCCCCCTTATGGGTCCCGCAGATCATGTTGATAATCCGAGCGGGTCATTGCCCTATTGCAGCAGGCATAGTATTTGAGCACCCCAAGGGCGCAAATCGTGAGGACAACGCGAGCGGGGGCCTCGCCTGTGCGTGCATAGCGAGCAAGTCTCGAGCGGGAGCCCCCTCCTTATGGGGCGCGCAGGTCCAACAAGCCAGACAAGGCGCACAGTTCGCACAGGCATCACAGGTTTCAAACGTTTCACACGACGCATCGTGGTATCCTCCCGTCTTGGCATCATCACCATCGTCACTAGTCGGTGAAGGCGCGTCTGATTCACATTCAGGAGATTCTAATGCGGGGTCCTTCCGTCGGAGACATGATGTCAGTGCCGTTTGTTTGGTTCCCCTGGCTGCGCTCGAGAGCCAGAGGTCCCTAAGAGTCCCAGACCCACTCGCGTCGTGGAAGGATCGCGGCGGGAGGTTTCGGGCGGTCTCGGGCCTCTGGGGGCCCCCGCCAGGCCCCGGGGATCGTCCGCGAACATGTCGGAGTGCAAGGAGGGCGGGTCGGGACGTCCAGAGGGGGGCAGCGCTGTGGAATAATCATGGACGTCAGGAGTTCGGGGGCGTTGTATTTGATATCATGGGCCTGTTTTCCACCACCACCACCATAAGTTGGAGGGGGGAAGGAGGTAGAGGATGAGGAGGAGGAGGAGGAGGAGGAGGAGGACCCCCTCCCCCTCCCACTTATGGTAGTGGTGGTGGAAAACACGCCCACCATGATAGACCCGAGCCATTTCACTTGCATGACACTTCCCTCCGCCCCCCACGCCTTCCTCTTCGAGCAGCGCTGGGCCAGAGAGGCGTGCAGGGGAACGCCGACCTGCGTGGAGCCCGGATTTCTGGTCGGGCCTCGCCGCGCTCCTCCCCCCCTTCCGTGCAGGCAAACTCGCCGGAGTCCAGAAAGAGAAGTCGTGTCCACGCGGTGCGGTGACCACACCGTCTGGTGAGTCAGTGGGGATCCGGGTGGCCGCACGGTTTGGTTACTTGGGTGGTTGTCCAAGGACGTCTCGGGCGACTTGGGCTTCCAGGGTCACGAGGCCATGCGGTTACTGTCCGTGTGGGGCGCGATCTTTTGGGTTTCGAGGTGACCGCACAGTCCGTCGCCGCACCGCATTGGGGCCCCGAGGAGAGTGGCCCTTCGCCAGAGTGTCGCTTCCCTGGCTTCCTCGCGTCGCGGGAGCAGGCACGACAGGAGGCCTCTGGCCTCTTTCGGCCTCCGGATGCCCTCGCCGAGCCCCCTCCCCCAGAGGCCACGAGGCCGAACCCGCTGTGCCGGGTCCCGAGTCGGCGCGAGCCGCCGGGGCGAGCCAGGGCAAGTTACGGGGTGCTTCGATGTTCATGGTGTCGGGCCTCAGGGTGGCCTGGGGTTGGCGCTCGGCTGTGCCAGGTTCCCAGGTGTTGCTGCGCTCGAGCTTTGGCTAGAAGCAGGGGAGCTTCAGAGGGAGCTGTGGGCTGGTCGAGGACTGCGGCCAGCTCGGGAGAACTCGCAGAAGCCGTCGGATGCAGCTGGCCGGGCCAGGCGGCAGACCCAGTCAGGTTAGGCGACGTTGCCGGGCATGCAGCTCGTACCCAGACATGCGAGGTCTCGATTCTTGTCCATACTCAGTTCCAAGGTCCCGACCCGTTCCCCAGGGCCGCTTTTTCGTCCCGGGCCGTTTTGTGACGGCCCCAGGGTCAGGCGTGGCCCCTGGAGGCTGGAAACGGCCAAAAATGTCCCGTTGTGATTTCTGTTACGACGCGAGCATGTCTGGGTAGCTTCCACCGGGCACGCAAGCCTCCTCAGCCTCTGTGCCCAGTCTACTGCTGGCCAAATCGAGTCCACATTCGGGATACATCGCTGGAGCGATCTCAGAGCGTTATTCCTTCTGAACGGCCAGATCGCAGAGGTTCACGACTGCGAAGGCCATAAGGCCCGTGCCGCCGACCCTGAATGGGGACGACGACGACGAAGACGAAGACGACTACGACGACGAATGGCCAGGTCTCAGAGATGCCCGCTTTATCTCGGTGCGATTTTGTCCCGATCCTGTCTCCTCGTTGCCGGCCGCAGCCGTCCCCGAGGCCGCCGCAGAGTCCCTGGACTGGGGCCGGCAGCGCGCGGAGCTGTGGGCGGAGATGGAGGGACGAAGCTGCAGGCCTCCAGATGGGGTCGGAGTGCGGGAAGTTCGCGTGGTGCAGGCGAAGTGGCGACCCAGCCGCGGGCGTTCAAGTTCGAACGACGCCAGTGTCCCGGAATCGGCCCACATCGAACGGTCTGCGCTATCGGGAAGCCGCGATCGTTCGAGGTTGAACGATTCACGCGGTGTCAGAAACCAACGCCGAAGTTGTCACGATACGAATTTGCCGTAGATGGGATCGGAGGATCGCGTCGCATCGCCGATACACTGGCGATGCGGCTCGACGAGGAGCCCAATTGTCTCCACGCCGACGTCGGCGATACATCGGCGATGCGGCGCGATCCTCCGACCCCATCTGTTCCGACCCCATCTGGGAGGCTTTTTTATACACTCTGGCTATGACCAAGGTGTCGCGCGATTTTGTCGACGCCGACCTTGGCCATGGTCCATGCTGGCCGTCGCCGTTTCGCGAGGATGATCCACGAATCTACGCTGGCCAAGATGGACGGTGACAAACATCGACACCACGCCTCAGCGTTCTGTCTTGGTCATGGCCCCCGCTTCCCAGACACGCGATGTTCTGTCTGTTGCAAGGCGCTGCTCCCAGAAGTCCCGACCCTTTCCCCGGGCCCGGTTCTTCCTCCCGAGTCCTTCTCTTGCCGGTCTTGGGGCCTGGCGAGGGCCCCCCAGGGGCCGAACACGGCCAAAAACCCCCCCGTCGTGGTTTGTTGTGACGCCGCGATCGTGCCTGGGTTTCTTTCCCTCCAGGAGAAGCGCCGCAACCGCGAGGAGAAGGGCTACCGGGGCCTCGCGCGCGAGGAGCGCTCCGACTCGCTGGGCGAGCGGCTCCTCGGCGAGGAGCCGCGGCGGGTCCTGCGGGAGATCAGGCGCCGGAGGGTGCCCGCCGTGTGCACGCAGAGGGGGGCGGGTTGAGACCACGGCACCCCACCTCCTGCTCCTCCTCCTGCTCCTCCTCTTGCTCCTCCTCCTCCTCCTCCTCCTCCTCCTCCTCCTCTTACTCCTACTCCTTCTCTTACTCCTACTCCTCCTCTTACTCCTATTCCTACTCCTACTCCTACTCCTACTGCTCCTGATCTCCCCCCGCCATCCTCCGCCAAGCCTCCCGGACCGTCATCTCCCCCCCCGATCCGAGACCGAGGTTCCGGGCCCCCCGGAGGGGGTCCGAGCAGGCGGGGTCGGAGGGTCGCACCGCATCGCCGATGCATCGGTGACGCGGCTCGAGGTGGACCCCCTCGGCCTCGTCTTCCTCCTCCTCTCCCTCGTTCCCTCGTCGCCCTCCAAAAAAAACGAAATCCGTCGTAACGCTCGGCGGGTTTGAAAAAAAAAAAAAAAAAAAAAAAAAAAAAAAAACTCCACGCCGATGGCGCCGATGCATCGCCGATGCATCGGCGCTGCGGCGCGACCCTCGGACCCCGCCTGCTCGGACCCCATCTGTCGGCGGGGAAAGAAACACACAGACACAGTTCATCGTCGACTCCCGGGAAAGAAATTTGAAACTATGGGAAGTGGGGGGGAAGACAAGAGCCCAGAACATCTGGGAAGATATGCGGATTTGTTTTGTGCATTTATTTTGTGTGTCCTGGGGCCCCTTCCATCTGGGAGGACGGTGAGCCCGCTGCGTCGCAGAAGTCGTGACGCCTGACGTCTGTGAGGGCGGGTTTGAGACCGCGGTGCCCTGAGATCCGGGCGTGGCAGTGGCGTCACGACGGGCGTCTTCGCCCCGCGGCGGGCCCCGGGGCCTTCACGGATGGATAGGACAATGACGCGGGAAGACGGGGTCTGCGGTTCCCCCCGTGGTGTCTCGCGATGGCGTGATCTGTTCGAAACGCCTGATCTGATGGCCGGGAGCTTTGGCGAAGGAGCTCGGTGTGGTCCGGCGCTCCAGCACCCCGCCAGCTGGGAGGTTGGGGCGTCTGTGCACCCACAGCTCCTGAGCCTACAGCCTAGGTCACCGGTCACCTGTGGGAGCGCGAGGATCATCCGCGTGTCGCGCGTCGCGGTCTGGGCCCGAGCGGCTGCCCTTCTCAAAGGGTGCCGGCAGCGAGGGCGCGAAGGTGGGTGGGCGAAGTTGTCCGAGCAGACGGTTTCTTGTGCACTTCGAGGCCCCTTCTCCGAGGCAGCTCGGCAAGGAGCGCCGCTGGGCGGAAGCCCTGCTGCTGCTCCGGGCGGAGGCCGACCCAGCCCCGGCCCTGCGCACGGCGGCCATGAACGCGTGCGCGAAGGCCGGGCTGGGCCCAGGAATACGGGGTTCGCGCAGGCTCGGGGGTGCAGAGGTTGGAGGGCAGAGTTGACCTGCCTCTAGAAGACCAGCATCTCGGGCCTGCGTGTGCCTGATACCGTTCTCCCCTTCTAGCCAGAAGCGTCCACAGACACATCGGGCTCTGCCTCTGCCTCTCTGCTGTCCCACGCGGCCACCGATGGATGGCCGAGTAATGCAGGAGGGCGATCAGCAGCAGATGCCGGGGGGGTCGGGGGGCCGCCACGCAGCAGCGCAGTGAGCTTGCTTCCAGGCCTGCTCGTGCCCGCCGCCGTCGCCGTCATTGAGATTCCCTGACCGTTCCTTCCGAAACCGTTCCCGGCGGCAGAACAACCATTTTGGGGATAATTCCCCCCGTGTTTTCTTATTACAGTCGACTCGCGTAGTAAGGATGGGCAACCTTCCCAAGGGTACCCCTTGCATCCTTGCCTCCTCGGTCCATCCTTGGCCACCTTCGTTGGCCGCGCCCCGCTCGGAAAGCTTCGACATGGGCGTCCAGTGCCTTTGCATCCTTCTCGCGCAGCCTTATGATGCGGGCCGACTGTAATCGTCGCCTTGCGCTACGAGTGGCCGAGGTGGCAAGGCTTCGGATTGGGTTCCGACAGCCCTCCAAGGTAGCCGCGGCTGGCCTCCACAGGGGCCCCCCCGAGTGGTCGGGGGCGGCCTCAGCACCTCAGCCTGGGGGTGCCCCGCGCCCCAGAGGGCGGCGCCGGAGGCGGCCCTGGGTGCCGAGACCGCCCTACGGTAGGTTTGCGTCGTGCCGACCAGCGGCGACCCCAGCGCGGACGTTCAAGGTTGAACGCCGCCGGCGACCCAGCATCGATCGATGTGGAACGGTCGGACGTTGCGGCAGCGGCCGATCGTTCAAGGTTGAGCGATCCCTGCGGTGTCAAAAGCCAACGCTGGGGTCGGCACGACACGAACCTGCCGCAGACTATCTGAGGGGGCTCTGTGCGCGCAATCCGGAGCCTTACCAGGTTGCCAGGCCGAGGGCCGCCGGAAAATTCTGGAACTCCCAGAGCGCATCTCCTGAGCTGGTCGCACACGGCACCATTCTCGTTTATTCGGCGGGGGCGTTCAGGGTCCATCCCGTTTTGCTTTGCCCACCATGGGCAACGGAGTCTGAGAGTCAGGTGCGTCCCGTTTGATGAGGGTATTTCCCCCCCTCGTCTTCGGTCCTATCCCCTCTTCGCTTTTGTCCTCCTCATCCTCCACCTTTCTCCCCCATCCGTGTCGTCGTCATCCCTTCCCTTCTTCTCCATCCTCCCTCCTCCATCCGCCTCCATCCTCCATCCTCCTCCTCCTCCTCCTCCTCCTCCTCCTCCTCCTCCTCCTCCTACATGCTCCCTCCTTCTCCTCCTCCTCCTCCTCCTGCTCCCGCCTGACCTCCATCCACTCGTTATCACTTGTGCAACCTAAGTGATCTGCATCGCGCCACGTGGGGATGCCTGGTATAGATCCGCCCCTCTCTCCCCCCCTCCTTCCTGTCACTCGATCATCCTTGCCTGTTGGCACCTTGCTGAGGAGAAGCCCGATAAGGCAGGTGGGCGACGTGTTCCTGCAGAGGCATCGCTCGACGAGTGGGTCAGCGTTCTCTTCAATGCTGGCATGTGCACTGGCACGGTTCTTCAGGGTTTTGTTGAGCAGGCTCATCGCATTGAGCAGCGGGCACATCGTCGAGTTTTCCACGAGCCTTTGGGGAAGTTTCGCAGATGGCTTACCGATCAAGCTTTTATCTTGTTGCAGCGTATCGGTCCATACGCGGCGGTCCCCAGCCAGAGAGGGAGATCCTTGTCGGCACCGACACCCTCACCCGTTTCGAGGGCATCCTGGGCGTCAGGGGGCGACAGAGGTGCAACATTCTGGGCCCCGAGGCCGTGCGCCTCCGACAGCGCTGCGCAACTTCTGCCAAGAGGTGATCGAGGCTGCTCCTCCTCCTCCTCCGCCTCCTCCTCCTCCTCCTCCTCCTCCTCCTCCTCCTCCTCCTCCTCCTCCTCCTGGATCGGGCCTGCTATGGGGATCTTTACGACCCGCCGTGTAAACCAACCGCTGTGACGGATCTCGGGCCAGGAGGTGCGTGCAGCAGCTCGTCGCATGAAGGGGGCGACGGGGATGGGGGCGGATCGCCTCACCCCGCTCGACATCGATCGCCTCCTCCCGAAGCTGGCGATGATGAGTCGGTGGCTCCTCTCAAGCATTTCGAAGCCATTAAATCGCGGGGCCAGTTCAAACTCAGCTGGTGGTGGGGAAGCTCTTGACATAGGAGTCTGGCAGGGATCGCATCATCGGCCTCGCGTCTCGTTCCCAGTCGCCGTTGGCCCATGATTCGCGAGCAGCAGGTTCGCGAATGGTCTGCCGCGGCTGACGAGCCTTGGAATGCTGCAGTCCTTGGCGAAGCTGCTCTGGGGGAGGCGTTTCGTCGCACCCTCCTCGACGAGGTGCCAGCCTGCCTCGAGGTCCCGACGCTCCACGGGATGCTCGACGTCTGCTGTTCTACGACACGATCGAGTGGGACCTCTTCATCGATGCTGCCCTTCGTCTGGGTATCCCCCAGTCGCGCCCCACGTGGAGCTGGCCCAGTGCAGAGCCCCACACATCCTCGAGCAGTTAGGCAGTGAAGGCGAAACCTTTTCAGCCATGCAGCTCCATCATACAGGGGCTCATGAGTGTCACCCGCTTCGAGAATTCCATGGCGCATGTCTATCTCACCAAGCTGTCATCAGCCACCGTGGGGATGGGTCATCGGATTTGGGTGGGGGATCAATTTCAGCGCATGTCAGGGTCCAGTGCTGGTCTGCGAGGCTCCGTCGCGGCATGCCTAGCGGACACGTGTGACAAGCTGGCGCGGTGGAAGTTGGACGCCTCTTCCAAGTCAGTGATTGTTTGTTCGATCCGCGGGGGCGCCAAGGTGATCTCCAGCAGGTTCCGTCTCCGAGATTTCCAGGTGAAGGCCAGGCTGCAGGCTCCCCCTCCTTGGCGTGTACCAGGGTGGCGGCACTCGTCATGCGCGACGGACTCGACAGACTCAGCGCATGAGGACGGCCAAGCATGCCAAGCTCTATGGCAGGATCGTGCGCGTCGCGAGAGCATCTCGGATGTACGGCGTCACCAGCAAGCTGGAGCGCCCGAGTCTTGCAGCCGCTAGCAGTTTCGTCCCCCAGATCCACGGCGCCTTCGGCCGTCAGCCTGAGGTCTTCCGCCGCAGCCTGGCAGCTGTATGCGGGATGGGCGACCGAGGCATGCGCAAGCCATCTCGCATGACCATCAAGGAGCCTGGCATGGGCCCTGCCACCGAGTACCCACTTGAGTACGTCGGGCTCTGGCCCCGTCAGTGGCTCGAGAGCCCGAGCACCCGAACTGGGGTACATCGTGCTTGGGAACCTCTTCTTCGTCGTCGGCTACGTCAGATCCTAGCCGCTCCGCATCCGGGGTTGACGGTCGACAGATAGCTGATGTCGGCAGTCATTGTGTATTTTCTCAAAAGGGAGTGGGGTCCTCAGACCCCTACCCTTGAGATAATGCCAGACTTGACGGAGTGGAAGTTTCGGCGTGTCCTCAGAGCTCTTACTTTAGCGTAAGGCGGAAGGCTGGTAGGCGCTTCTGCGGGGGAGGGGTCGGAGAAGGCTTGGAAATGGCATCTCTCAAGCTTCTCTTGCGACATGTCGACCAGCAAGGGCATGGCATGCGTCTTTCTGAGTTGCGGGCCTCGATCGTTGCAAGAGGGAGTTGGCCTCGCGAGGGTCTTGCGCAGGCTGCGCCAAAGATATCCATATGCAATAAGTGCCCGAGATGCCAGCGAATTCGAGAGACGGCGTTTCACCGCGCACGGGAATGCGAATTCAATCAAAGGTCGGAAGCACACAGTCGATCAGACGAGTTGATCAGCCAGGTTCGGGCCTAGCACGAGGCGGAGGAGGCTATGGTTGCGGGGACCCCCACCTGCAGCCATGCAAGCAATACCCCCGGCAGCCGAGGAGGAGGACAGGTGGCAGACGGGGCTGGATGATGACATGTTCAGTGGATGATGTGGCCCAGGACGCACTGACCTTCATATCCCTCTGTTCGGGGATTCGAGCGGTGGCGAGGACTCCCGCGATGCCATATTGAGGAGGGTCGGCGTCGGGATGGTCCAATCTCATGATGCGTGCTGCAAGGATGCGATCTCGTCCGCCTCGGGTGTTCTCCCAGGTTTGCAGCAGTGTGTTCGTAGAGGTGGGTTCTTTAGTTTTCTGTGTGCACTGCAATGGGCTAACGATTATCTCATCTATGTAAACCCGCAATCTGGCGGTGTTTCAAGGTTGGCACTGGTTCTGTGACCAAGCCCCTTCCTGGAGAGAGCTCAGATCTCTGAGGGCACGTCGGTCAGGAGAGGGTCGGGCGAACACACATTGTCATGCAGTTCCGGTTTTGTTCAACCGCTTGCAACTGTCAGCTGAGGACACCAGCCAGGGCAAGGACCTCTTGTGGCTTGTCAGAGGCACCGCGGCAGCCGACGTCACGACTGGCGAGGGGGGCAGCGCACCACAAGTTGCCCCGGCATATCAGACTCAGGAGGGAAAGAAACACACAGACAATGAATCGTCGACTCCCAGGAAAATATGGGAAACTATGGGAAGTGGGGGGGAAGACGAAAACCCAGAAAATATGGGAAAATATGGGGAATCTTTTTATTTGTGTGTATTTATTTGTGTGTCCCAGGGCCCCTTCACAGACATCAAGTCAAAGAAGCAGATCATTGAATGTTCCTGATCAGGTTGCGTATTCGTCTCTCCGCGCTGGATGTGATGGCTGCGGCCGCCGAGGGTGGCGGACAGAGGAAGACGAGGAAGTTGCTCACCACCCACCAAACCACCCCAACCCAACCCGAAGGCCTCAATTTGCCCTCCATTTCCAGTGGGGGGGGGGTCGGGGAACATTGAAAAAACACATGGAACCCGTACCCCCCCCAACCCGAAATTCGGGTCAAATTCGGGCCTTCGGGTTGGGTTGGGGTGGTCTGGTAGGTAGTCAGTTGCTTGAATAGGTTTTAGGTTCTAGTGACCCTCCTTCTGCCTCTGGTCCTCGCTCGTTTCCTCCCCCTTCCCCCTTGATGCCGCCCTCTGCCAGTTCTCTGTCCATGTTCAGCACCCCACACGCCGCTGACGACACAGTGCTGCGATGCCCCCGATGCCGTGGCTCGGCGTCTGTCTCGCTTTCTAAGGTTTGGATGTCCACTGAATGTATAACATTGTGTTCGATTGATGGCTCGAGTCCTCCTGAGGGGGCGAGGATCCATATTGATGGGGGGTGGAGTCACCCCATCCCAAACAACGCGTCTGTATCAGGACCTCGGCATATGTTTCTGTGCGGCGTGCGGTATGTAAGGGGGGGCAGCATCTGTTAGATTTGTGTGAGGAGTGCCCCAATGTGGCGTCACCGAAGGTCTACTTGGGCCGACTGCGGCTGAATCTTGTTTCTCCCCAAGCTGCTGAGTAAAGCAGAGCTTTCGAGGAAGGCCCACAAGGGACCTCCGTGAGGTTTTGTTTCAGACTTCGCCATCGGACTCCTAACTCCAGACTCCTCCTCCTCCGCCGCGCCCTCGTCGTTCCCTCCCTCCCCTGATCCGCCCAGCCCTCACCACCAAAGGCACTGGAGCTCGAACAGGCGCGCGCCGTTTTCGACGAGATGCCGGAGAAGACGGTGGCGGCGTACAACGTGCTGGCGTTGGAAGAAGACAAAGGGCATCACCATATATTTTCGGAGGTCCGCGCGGATCCATTGGGTCTGCGATGAAGCCCATTGGCGACGCCTCTGGCGCCGCCCCTTGCCTCAGCGCAGATTCGAGAATGCGGCGCAGACCTTCGAAAGTTTCAGCTCGATCAGTTTCTTGCCCTTCGCGCTGCGGCAGTTGTCTTCAGCTCTCCCTCCCCATTGTTTGCGCAATTGTTTCTTCTTCCAGGTGTGGATGGTCGGGCTGCGCGACCCAGCCGGCGCCGAGAGGCTGGTAGAGGAGATGCCCAAGCAGGCCATCGGAGGAGAAAAGCGGTACCGATGCCGCCACCCTCGCCTCGTGTTCTCCTTTGGGGGCTCTCCTGGGAGGGCTCTCCTGGGAGGGCCCTCCTGGGGGGCGAGGGAGCCTTCGAGCAGGGCCATGCCCGTGCCGCACACGACTCCCAGAGGAGGAAAGGGTGCCGTGGGAGGGCCATGCCCGTGCCGCACACGACTCCCCGTTCGGGGTCTCCTGGGAGGGCCCTCGTCCCCACGGCTGGGTTCGCCCCGAAAGTCTGGTCACCAGGCGCCCCGGGAGCCCTCGCCTCCTCGCCGCTCACCGCGGCCTCACGGGGAGGCCCTCGTCGCCACGGCCGAGTGCGCCCCGAAGCCGTCGTGTCCGGGCGTGCCCGGGGCGAGGGCCGGGGCTCGCGGCCTGCGCCGGGCCGCAGCGGTGTCCCGTGCCGCTGCGTCCTCCCGTGCAGGCTCTGCGGCCCGACGCGGGCATCTTCCGCTCGCTCATCGACACCCACGGCAGACCTGGCGGACGAAGAGCCCAGACCCCCTCGAGTAATGAAAAAATCATGACGGGAGGTTTTTCCTAATTTTCGGCCTCTGGAGGCCCTCACCGGGCCTCGAGAGCGTCAAAAAACGACTCAGGATGCAAAGCCGGTCATGGGGAAAGGGTCGGGACCTCTGGGGGTCGACGTAATGAAAAAATCATTACGTCGGGGGTCTGGGAGGGCGGCGCAAGGGTATACCCGGCTTCCGCCATCCGAGGCGCCCGTCCCCGGGCGGCGGTTGGGAAGTCTGTGACCTTTCTGGGGGACGTCGGGGCATGAGCTTCCCGGTCGCCCCTGGGACGGGCGTTCCCGGCGGCGGAAGAGTTTTGGAGGCGGCCGGGGAGTCTGAGCTGGATAAGCCTTAGAGAAGAAATTGGTCAAGAGGGGAGATGGAGGCACATTCATTCGAAATCGGTGCGCAGACCCCTTCCTGGGGTCGAAGCTGACCAGTTCATGCACTATGCCGCGTCCAGCCGTGGCGACGACGGGGCCTTTTCTCAGCTGCTGGTCAGAGCCGAGGTTTGGCCTCCTCAGCCCCCAGGCCCGCTCCGAGAAGAGTTTGTCCTATATCCCAGGTGTTGCCAGAGGTGCCCTCGGCCCAAGGAGCCCCCAGGATTTCCAGGGAGTCCCAGCTGGTTTCACGGGCTCCAGACTGGTACGGAAAACTGCGGGCACCTTTGGCCAGGGACACCTTGGAAAGCCCCCGAGTACCGTTCATCACTCGCTGAGGCAAGGCTGGCGACCTGAAGGCCGCAATGCGCGTCTTCTCTCAGTCGCGCGGCGACGGGATCCCGCCGTCGACCTCCACGTACCAGGTGCTTCTGAGCGCCTGTACGCGGGCGGGCGACCCGGACTGCGCCGAGGAGCTCCTCGCCGACATCGGGGGAGCGGGAAGGGGCGCGCTTGCCCCCAACCCATCCGCCGAGGAAGCGCAAGCATGGATTATCAGAGAAGGGCAAGGCGAGACAACGGTAGTTGGCCTTGGGGCTTCGGGGGGGGGGCCTTTGTCGCCAAGGCTTGACGCAGCTCGGACAATTGGTGCGTTTGAACCCCCCCCGAGGGGTCGGGGGTGTAGAGATTGCAGGAGGCGGCTCGTGAGATTTTCGTATCTTCGTAAAACATCTGAAGTCCAGTGGTGCGGTGCGTTGCCGCTTGATGGTTCGACATTTCTTGGCGCGCTTTGCTGCGCTTGCTGCCTGATGCCGCGAGCAACGCTTGCTCAAGGGCGTCCGCGGCGCACCTGTCACAGTCAACCCGCAGAGCAAGGATAAGCAACCTTCCCAAGGGTATCCCTGCATCCTTGCCCCTTCGGCCCATCCTTGGCGGCTTTCACTGGCCAGCCTCGCCCGAAAAGCGTTCACGTGGGCCTGCAAGGCCCTTTTGCATCCTTACCGCGCATCCCTATGATGCGGGTTGACTGTACTTGGGCGGACTTTGGATACTGACATGTTCGAACTCGGCGTTTCGAAGCAGCAGTGCTCGAGGGATCAGTTGCGTGGCAGTCTTGGGCGCTCAACCCTGGTTGCACATTGTTGCCGCACGTCTGGCCCGATGCTGAACGCACGAAGCAGCCGCAGAAATACACCAAAAATACACCGGGCAACAAAAAACACACATACACCCAATTACACACCACGAATGCACCACAAGCCTCCGACCGCCTCTGTCGCGAGCCAGGCTGTCCTGGAGATTCCGCCCGCGGCCCCTGGAATATAGAAAGACCGCGTGGGAGTCAGAAAGGGGAGTCATTACAGTTCTGGGCTCCCCAAGGGGATTGGAAATCTCCCCTGGGAATGAATTGAGCTCACGAAAATGAAAGTACACAAAACAATTCACCACCTAATGCACCTCACATACACCACAAAGTATACCGAACATACATCACAGATGCATTACACATGTGCGACACATATATCACACATAGACCACGCATGCACTGAGCATGGCCAGGTTCCACGCATGTCCCGTCAACACTCACTACATTATCTCGTGGGAAACCGGCGTCTCTCGGTTTACCTCTGGGCCTTGGTCCAATCAGTAGTCGTACTCCTAGTGCATTCTTCCCCAATCAGTGCTTGCACTGAAGGGGTCTTAGCGGAAGTTGAAAGATTTGGCGAACGTTCCTGCCGAATTTGGTAGCAGACTGGGATCCCAGGTTCCCGGTTCTGGGTGCTTGGGTTCCCGGTCATTGGTTCCAGGCCGATTTCGGTGGGTTCTGGGTTCCCGGGCTCCCGGGTTCCCGGTCGATCTCCCCAGCGAAAACCATCCACTGATTTGGGTTTTGCTCTGGTGTAATCGTAATGCGTGTTTCGCCGTCTCGTGGGCCGACCGTGATAGACGACAGAGAGGACGGGGCTTTGGTGATGACCGACCAGTTGCCCTAAATGCCCTCCAGCTTCCC